AAGTTAAAATAAGGAAAAGGGGAATATAGATCAGGGAAAAAGAACAAATAACAGTTTGTATAAATATCTATGTACAAAGTGTTATGGTTAAGAGATTTAAACAATTGTATTATGATTAACCATGTACAAATTGTTTCATGTAAATATATATTTAGTCTTTCCTGATAAAAAAAAATAACCATGTTGTTAAGAGCTTTTTGTTGGAAAATGATGACAATGTTAGTGTTGTATCTAACTTGATATTTTGTAGTATTTGTATAGGTAACAACAATGATTATGTTATTGGTGTTACTCATCTGGTCAACATGCGCAGCATGTACATAGTTTTAAAGGGCGACAATTTTTAAAGTAGAATTACATGTCTTGTAAATTACATGTTTTTTCTCTATTTATTTATACTTAAAATATAATTACTGTTTTATTATCACGAACAAAAAAATATTTGTTCTCTTTTAAGAATGAAACCAAGTTACAGGTCAAGATATCGTGAAAGTGACACAAAGTAAAAATATTACATTGATTTAACTTAATTGTTATGTTCTTGAAAAAAATTTGATCATATCTTTGTCTATATTATGTTAACTCACTTAGACTTACACCAGATTTAGTAATTTTCACATGCAGCTCCCATGTGATACAATTGGCATAAGCGGAGACTCTTAAAAAAAATTAAATTATTTAACTAATTATTTCAACTTTGTAATCAAAAGTTTGATCTACATTTACAAATATATTAATAATTGATGTTGATAATGAAGATTTCACAAGGTCTTTTAAATATGTTGTGTTTGAATGTGTCACAATTGGCATATTAATTTATATATGAACATAATTGATTAACAACTGTACTAATTTAGCCAATATTATGGTCCAACAAATAAATATATCAAGTGAACGTGTAGAATGACTAAACATGACATAGATGCGTACCTTTATCATTTTTCTTTGCAAATAAGAAAAAATAATTGTTTACCGTTTGGATGAATAAAAGGGAAATACTTAGTATCAGTATAAACTTTGTTGTCATAAACAACATTTTCAAAATTAATTTTAATAACACAAGAAAAATAATATATTTTTATTGATTTATCTTAAAGTGAAACTATAGTTTTTGAATAAACCATTTACTCCATGAATATTTTTTTAATTAGCTTTTCTAAGGTTTTTGGGTATGAGTTGAGGTCAACTATCCAAATTATGTTTTTTTTTTTCAAAGTTTAAAAGTTGTTCAAAAATTCAAGTGTTATGTCTAACCGTTTGTCCGAACCGTTCGAGAGATATATGCACAAAGTATTCTGATGCCAAAGTCGGATCAACATTGATAGTTAACAATCAATGCTGCAATAACCTACAAGTCACTTACCTATTTACTTCAAATATTTATAGTTTCAAGGTGAATTTTTTATTAACATTAGTCTAATTATGGTTGAATTGTGAATAATGATACTTTTCTCTTAAATTGATCAATATTAAGATCAATGTGCTCTAATTCATAATCGATTGATTTACTTCGTGGTCAGCCAAATTCACTAACAACTTGTTAGATGAACTGTCTGATTTGTAGTTGACCGAACGATCATACAATATACAAGATATCTATACTAATAATTTTTTTCACAATCTAATTAGTTTTGACCTTTGTACACAAATATTTTTGTCCACGGTATAAGTAGGATTTTACGTGTTAGAAAATGAATGCAAAATATATAACTCACTCACTCAACTACCTTTTGAACAAAGCAAATGATCTTTTGAGAGTAGATGAGCTTATCCTACAACGTTAACCTTTTCTTCTCATTTTATCTTGAGAAACATGTTTTTGTTCCTTTACTATATTGGTTAACTATTGATATCTTTATTTTAGAAAAAATAAGTAACTCAAATTTTGCAAGGATTCAAACAGTTTCTTGCATTTTTCTATACTGTACTACTTCTAACTAAAGTAGACTTTTTGGTAATATCAAATTTGAAGGTTGAGGATGAAAAATTCTTATGAGCTCTGCATAAGCTAATAAATTAAAACATTTATTAGATACAATAACTTTTAGATTAACATTGTAACTACTCAGGATTATTCTTGTAGAGAAGAAAACTTCCACAGACAAAAGATATTATCAACATTTACATTAAGAGGAAAACTAATAAAAACTTAAATCAAGGTCTTTTTCATCTTGATCTAACAAAGAACATCTATAGTTAAAGTTGCTTATATGAATATCTTACCAATAAAAATAATATTTTAATGTTGGTCATAGAATTGAATATGCTTAATGAAAGAAATTTCGTTATATAAACAAACACTCTTCAATTTTAAAATGATGTTTTTACTAAGTTTTTCATAAAAAAAAAACAAATTAAAAGAGTTCTTGGAATTATCCAAACCTCATATAAATTTAAGTAAGAAATAATAAAAAGTATGTTTTTCTTCTTTACTAAGATTCTAATATATTCTAATTTGAAACAAAAATAATCCAGTCCTACGTGACATCATGAGGATAATATAAGTAAGTATGTTGACTATCTCAAATCACTTATATGTCCCCACTTGATCACTCATACTTGTTTTTATTGATAAAAAAAACTCATTTAAACAACTTTCATTGGAAGTGCTCTAACAATCAATTTTTAATGGGAAATTAATTAATCATAAATATTGAAAATAAACCATACAAACATAAGTTTATAACTTAACCACATTTATTATTATGAAGATTCATAATAGTTAAAAAATTACATCAGATGACAAGTAAATAAGGATTAATAAATTGAAATAAACAATGATAAAGTTAAACCACTTCATGTACACCAAATAACAAGAAAATAAAATAATTAATGAGTATAAACAAAAATAAGAAAATAACTTATTGAGATTAAAAAAATTGAAAGCTAATATCACAAAAAAAATGCTTAGTGTATGTAAAAAATTGGAAAAGAATTTGATTTTTAAGTGTGTTACTATAATTTTTATGTACTGATTTAAAAAATAGTTTTTTGAGACATAATCTAGCGTGAACCTCGAAAAATTAGTAGAAGTAAGAAATTATTATTATTATTTTTATTTAAGCTTATGCACCAAAGGAAGTACAATAACTATCCAGTATGATCTTTGACCATAAATAATCTTTTATAAAAGATGGTAGCTAATTAATTAATTAGGACGTATTTATATTATATTAGTGATTTTGGACTAAACTAATTTTACCAAACTATTTTATATATTTTTACTAATGTTTATAAAAAGTTCAATAACTTTTTATATTTATAATTTTTTAACAAAAAAAATGATTTAATTAATCAATTGAAAAATAAAGTCAAATAGTTATAATAAGTATGGTATTTTTATATACTTGACATAAAATGTTTTAAATTAATATAAGTTATTACACTTTAAAAAATTTGGTCTTTAAAACTAATTACTGTTTAATGAATACACAAAATTGTCTTAAATTAATTTAAAAAATGCCATGCTGACTCAAATGAAAATGTTAAAATCTAGATAAGATCAAACTTACCAAATCTAAATTATAAAATTTTGATATAAATTTATAAAATAAGTAAACATAAATATAGTGACTGAAAGATACCTGGAGTAAGAGTAAGTTAGTTAACAGATATTAATGAAGCCTTAATAGGTTTCATGTTGGATAGTGGCTATTAGAGATAATGAATTGAGAATTTATGTAGGTTGAAGGAAGAGATAAACTGTAGAAAGAAGAATAAGAAACAATTTATTAAATTTTAATTTAATTATTATAAAAATTTATAAAATTATTTAGATTATTTTATATGAAAGAACTCATAGATAATAGTTATCCAAAAAATCTAACATGAAAAATTTCAATTAAATTAGATAATTCAGTGTTCACATAAACTAATTTATTATTATTATTATGTTATAAAATTTATAATTAATCAAATTTTTAATTTGAAAATAGCATGACAAATGAATTCTTGCATTGTATATACATCAATTTAATTACTAGTATCCCTATTGATAATATAAAATATAGGATATAAATATAAGATATAAAATATAAAATGAAAATAATATATTATTACTAAATTATTTTATTAGTATGGATAGTGGATTCTTACATTATTTACACATCAATTTATCTATATTCATCACATCCTTATTAATTAATAATAAAATTTGAGATAGTTAATATTATATATATATATATAATCTAAAAAAATAATATAAAATATAATATATAAAGTATAAAATATAAAATAGGAATCATATTTTTTGTCCTACTTATCTTCTATGTACATCTTTGCAAAAGATTGAGATTAGAGAAACTTGAAAAGTAAGTTTTCTATTAATGTTGATGAACAATTATTTAGTAAAATTCATAAAGTTGCTGAATATATTTTTTTGAGATGAAATAGACCTGAAGTGAGCAGAGAAACTCTAGAATAGCTTCCAACCTATACAGACAGATACTGTGTACATAGTTAATTAACAAATATTCTATAGTATCCTTAAGACTAATTAAAAAAGCATGTTAATTATTTAAAATTAAAATAAATTTTATTTTAAACCAATAATTAATAGCAAAGATATTGAAATTAATATGAAATAAAAGTGTCAAGATTCAAAAGAAGTATTCTAAGAAGAAGCACGAAGATGAAAAAAAATACATACGAAGATGTTCAGATATAAAAATAAAGACTTCATTAATATAGGTAATAAATTAAGATAAAAGTTGAGAATATAGTTTAATAAAAGTAAAAAGATATTCATATTAATTAAGAAGAGAAGTGTTTTGTTACATAGATTCTGAGATAGTGAGATAGTAAGTCCTCAAACATGCCCGTTAAACTTCTTTTGTATCATTTTCTTTATTTTTATTTATTTATTTTTCTTTTTAGCATTTATTATCAAACTTCAAGGTGTCAAAATTCTTGAGTCTCAAGCATTGGAAACATCGCAAACAACGAAGCGAGAAAGAAAAGAAAAACTGTGTTATCTCTTCACCACCTTATCTCTACTGACCATGGAAAATGCTAATGGTCCTAAGAGCAACAATCTTCAAGGAAATTCTGATGAGGAAATATTTCAAGTGAACGAAGAGGTGGAGGTAATATCAAAATTTTGATAAAGATGTAAAATTTTTTAATTGAATTTTTTTGAACAACAAAAAAATGTGTTTTACCGATTCTTACACTTTGTGCATGTTATTCTTAAGTTGTTAATCTGTACTTTTGATAGCTGTTACTGTGTTTGAATGCTTTTAGCTTCACTAAGCATGCGCCGCTGTTGTTTTTTTAATTAAGTTTTGGTCTTTTCTGGTTGATGAGTTTTGGGCGATTCTCAATGTGCTTCATGCAAAAGGTATTTGAATTTGTGGTTTTGTTTTTGTGCTTAACCGATGCATTCTTCTTCTCTTTGTTGTCCTTCATGCAAAGGGTATTTCAATGAAGATGGTAATGTTTTCTCTTGTGATCACTTTCTCTAAGAGAGTTGAGTTGTTTTGATCTGAGATTTGCATGCGTAGGGATTGAGACTGTTTTGAAGTTTTTTTCAGGTGCGGCGTGTAGAGGAGGGGTTCCTAGGATCATGGCACCCTGGGATAGTTATCAAGTGTGGAAAGGTGAAGTGCTTTGTCAGATACAAGAATGTTCTAAAAAGTGACGGTTCGGATTATCTTGTGACTGCAGTGAGGGTTTCAAAAGCATCGGAATCTTCAAAGTATAGCATGCGGGGGTTCATTCGACCACCGCCACCTTGGATTGAGTTTGGGAGATTTAACCTTAACTATGGTTTGTGCGTGGATGTAAACTGTCAGGGAGCTTGGTGGGAAGGAGTGATATTTGATCAGTTCGATGGGATGCTGAAAAGGAGCGTGTTTTTTCCAGATTTGGGTGATGAAATGCAGATTGAAATTCATCAACTGCGGATTACTCAGGACTGGAATGAAGTTACACGACAATGGGAACTAAGAGGAAACTGGGTGTTTCTTGAATTGCTGGAGGAGTATCATGAGAATGAATCATTTGTTGGAGTTTCAGCTAAACAAATGTGGTATGATGTACTGGTACAAAAGAGATTTGGCATGAGGGGAGAGTGGGCATATAATGAGAAAGAATTGTACAGGGAAGCGGTGCTAGGTGTAGTTGATGACTACTTAAGTCTTAGAGTGAACAAAGTTTTCTCAGTTTTAGACTTGCCACCAGAGCAGGAATCAGTTGAACCAATGGCTAATATTGACTTGAACATGACCTTGTCTGATAGAGATAATTTTGTCCAGAAAGAACCTGCTCCTCTTGTTCAAGAGGTTTTACCTGAGTTTGAAATAGAAATTGACCTTGAAGCTGCTCCTGAAGTAGTTTCTGGTGAGAGATGTGAAAGCTCATCAAGGGATTCAAAGGCCAAAATATCTGAGAGTCAAAGCAATAGATTGCCTCCACAAGGATCAGGGAAGAGGGTGACAAAGGCGTCTGCCTCTAGTCTTTTACCTCTGGATAAACCTCTAACTATTTTGTCTTGGTTGATGGACAACAAGATGGTGTTTCCAAGATCTACCGTATATTATTACAATGAAAAAGCATGGCACCATGCAGTTTCGAGTTGGACTAGAGGGAAAGTAACTCGCAGTGGAATCAAGTGTTACTGTTGTAACATAGTTTACAGTTTTGTTGGCTTTGAAAATCATGCTAGTGGAGTCAATACCTGCACACCATCTGCTTGTATTTTTTTGAAAGATGGTAAATCACTCTTAGAATGCCAAATGGAAATAATGCAAAATCGGGTGACGGGAGAAACTAGCGAAAAACCATGCCTTAATTTCCCTCTAGAAGAGAATGACTTGATTTGTTCGCTTTGCCTCTATGGCGGTGAACTTATTTTATGTGATCAATGTCCATCTTCATTTCACATGACGTGTCTTGGGTTGGAGGTAGATTAACCATTCTCCTTCTCAATCATTATTTTGTTTTTACTGCTATACATTACTTCCATTTGGTACTTTCATATCAATGATTGGTCCTGCTGGATCTGAGTTGTTTCCTCCAATTTCTTCTATGAATAGCATATCCCTGATGGTCAATGGCTTTGCCCACAATGCCGTTGCGGTATTTGTCGCCAAAGCAAACTAGACGAAGATGAGGATGGCCATGCTGCCCTTACTTGCGTACAGTGTGAACATAAATGTAAGCACAGCTACCATGAACTTTTACTTTAATATTTCATCCATTTCTGGATATCTTTTGAGTGTGTAATTGTAAATCCGGAGTTATCTTTGTCAAACTTGTGCAGTCCATGTTAGGTGCCTGGAAAATGGAGGCATAGATTTATCAAGATGTTCAGAAAACTGGTTCTGTGGAAAAAGCTGCGAAAAGGTACAACAACTCCGTCTCCATTTCTTTCTTCTCGTTTTCGAAAACTGTAGCCATCATTTGCATGAAATATTTGTTTACCTTCAAGCGAAAAGGTACAACAACTCCAAATCCTTTTTGTTTCTTTATATTTTATTCAGCTCTTATTACTTTCATTGGTAGCATTATTTTACTTTTAACTGATTCTTTTGAAACAAAATTATGTTTAATGCTTCTGCATATGTGATTATGCTCATGAGAAAGTTTTATCTAGGTGACTTTACATTATGTTATTGTTATGACATGACATGGCGTTGAGGGTTACTGTGTGTGTATTTTTGCAGATACACAATGGCCTTCATGATCTATTAGGAAAGCCAGTTTTAGTGGGTGTGGACAATCTAACATGGACATTGGTGAAGTTTATTGAGCCTGAGTGTGATGATGTTGGTAGAATAAGACATGACAACTCAGTAGCAGAAAGTTACAGCAAACTCAATCTTGCTCTTGCGGTGATGCATGAATGTTTTGAGTCCCTAAAACAAAGTTTATCTAGCAGAGATATCATTGAAGATGTTATATTCGGCAGAAGGTCAAATATTGCTATATATCCTTCAAGATATGGTCATAATATATTGTGTTGCTCTTTCTATTTCTGTTATCTACTTTATTTACTGATGTTTTTTGTTTACACCTTTTTGTTTCTAAATTTTGCTACATTGTTGTTCTTTCTATTGCATTATACTTGATATATCTGTATTTTGGAACTTTGTAGGTCAGAGCTAAGGCGATTAAATTTCCAGGGTTTCTATACTGTACTACTTGAGAGAAATGAAGAAGTGGTTTCTGTGGCAACTGTTAGGTGAGGATAAGATCTTTCACCAGGGTTTTTTTTAGTCATTATTAGTCAGTTTATTCAATTTATCCCTAAGCATGTCTGTGCGTACCCTAAACCCTAAACAAGGATAATAAAGAGAAGATAAAATACACATCAAATTGTACGAAAAAGAAGAACATATTTTTAGTTTGTTTGAATAAAGATTATATTATCTTCACAACAAATACTATAAAAAGATAATAAAATATATTATCCTAAATAACCGAGTACCACTCTATATAATGAAAGTTGATGAATTGAATATAAATTGATGAAAATGTTCAACTGGTACGAAAGGACTAGTAAATTATTTTTAGATTGAAATAACTGAAATTAAGATTTATTTCAATTTATGAGCCTAATGATATGTTGTGGCAATATGTAAGGGTCCACGGGGAGAAGGTGGCAGAAGTACCTTTTGTTGGTACAAGATTACAGTACCGTCGACATGGATTTTGTCGCATTCTGATGAGTGGTCTTGAACAGGTTTTTTTTTTATCGTCTGTTTACCTTAATTTGAACCCTTTTATTAATGTATTGTATAGTAACTGCATGCGTCATTTTCTGAAGACACAAACAATTTTTTTTCCCTATTTTGATTAAATTTATTGTCATACCACGTGCTTTATAAACTTTCTCATGATTCTAATTTAAATATTAGGGCAATAATTTATTAGCGAATATAGTGTGATACGCACAGACATGCTTTTTATTATTATAATGAAGCACGTTAATGGTATAAAGAATAATTCTATCCCTAACTTCCAAAGATGGAAGATTTCCATATATAGCACAGGATAATAAATAATCTGGTCCTTCAAAATGAACCCATGGTTGACCCAAATGGCTACTATTAGATATTGCCCTTTCTAAAGGGATTTTCAGTAAATTGAAGGACAATGTTTTGTTAGAATTTTAAGAGAGAGACAAGTTTAGTTGGGTGTAAAGTATATTTTGCAGAAGGTAGCTTTGGAAATGATGAGTCATGCGGAGGAGTTTTGAACGAGGAACAATTGATTTTATGGAAAGAAACATTATTAAAACTTGTCTATTCTAGGTGAATAAATATTATTTTATATAGAACACAATTTTTCTTACTTTTTTAGATCGTTTTCGTAATTCTAGAAATTGTAGAACCATCTCGTTGTTCTCCCATTTGTTCAAGTACTCTTCTAAGTCTTATTGTTTGACTTGTAGTTTTTGCAACTTCCACTTGCTTTGATTGTTGATTGTTCTATTGTTATTTTTCTTTTTGATGTCCAAGAAAAAAAAAATCTCTAGATCTATCCAAGTGATAAGACATAAGTTGATGTACACTTAATGACATCTATCGTTTTTGCACAATCACTATTTGTGTAGTCAATTAGTCTTGAGTTTGTCATGGTTTTGTACCATTTATACGAGATTCGAAAATTCTTTTTACTAAAATTTGGCTTGGTATTGATAGAACCTTATAGCATAGGCTTTGTGGCTGTCAGAGCTTCTGATTAAACTTCTGTATCATTAAGTGTTAGCTTCTAGTGCTTCATCTTTTTCTTTTTTTTTTTCAGTTTCTCATTTGTCACTACTGGTGAAATAAATAGATTTGCAACTTAACATGTTGTACTTCTCTTGTAAAGTCACAATATATTTCTTTGGGGATATAATATTCCCTTTTTTTTTGTCTTACCTCTACATCAAGGAAGTACTTCCAAGATCATATTGAATGTTTTCTTCAAGTCTTCTTTCTCCATATCATCTTCATATTTTTTTTTTAGATATCTACGTAAAGAGAGAGGCAATAATAGTATCATATTGACCTTGAGTCTTGATGTTTGAATTCTTGATTGTAGATTTACTCATCAATTTTTCTATATAATGCTTGAGGAGCTTGCTTCAAGCTATATATAGAGATTTTTAGTTTCATTACCTTTACCTTCAAATTTAGTTGTTCTACATATATTCTTCTTCAACAAGATCATTTAGAAAGGTTGACTTGACATCCAAATGGTGAAAGTTTCATCCTTCTTGTGTTAAAAGAGCTATTAGAGCTCTTATTTTGTCTAGGTCAGTAATTGAGACAAATGTCATATGTTAGTCAATGTCTTATTTTAGTCAATTCCATATTGTTATGAATATTCTTTTGCTACCAACTTAGATTTGTGCTTTTGTATTATTCTTTCGAGATTTAACTTTGTTTTATAAATCCATTTACCTCTAATTTTGAAGACAATCTACTAGTTCCTAGTATTATTCTTTTCAATCATTTTAATTTCTTCCTCCATTACCTTAATCTACACATCTTGCTTTCCTACATCTTCATAATAGCATTCAGGCTAAAGCATGTCCATGTTGCATGTTATATATATATATATATATATATATATATATATTCACCAAAGATCTTACTCGTTTAGGACTATAATCTTGTTGTGTAGGTCAAGGAAGATCACCGAGATCTTTTGTCACTTTTTAAGTTTCTCTTTTAGATTTTTGTACTAGAACAAAGATGTTATTTCTCATGTTTACTTATTCCAATTCGAAAGAAGCATCAACTTCAACATCTTTATTGATGGTGTCTTCTTTGTCTATTGGTTGTAAAGTATGTAACTTTTTCATTGTGTTGTATCCCAAGAAGCCTCCTCATATAGCCATGTCTTCTAATTTTGCCTTATCAAGAAAATGTATGTGACAGGTGGATTAAAAACTCTTAAGTGCTTAATTAATGGATTTTGTTTGCTCCAAATTTCGATTGGAGTCTTATCTTTGACTATTTTAATTGGACATTTATTGAGTATGTAAATGCAATGTGTACCACTTCAGCCTAAAAGGTTTAGGCAAGTCTTTCTCCTTTACCATTGATTTAGCCATCTCCATGACTGTGCAATTCTTCTTTTTTGAAACATCATTTTGTTGTGGAAAATATACAATTATACAATTAGAACTTTATAGGAATATTTCTATTTCTTTTCTCCATTTTAACTTCGTCAATCTCTCATCATATATTCAATAAATATCTCCTTTTAAGCGAAGGGTGTACAATTTTTCAGTCATTTGACCAATAGTCAAGGGATTTTTTTCTTTGAGATTAGGAACGAGTAAGACATCTTTTTATGAATCTCATTCCTTTGTTTCCACCACAACAATGCCTCTTCCTTTTGACTTAACTAGGGTGTCATTTCCCAATCGAACTTTCACTTTGGTAGAGTCATCAATATCCCTGTTGTTTTCTTTGGTCATGTTTCATCGTTGGACTGTAGGGTAGCATAAAAGATGTTCAACTTCAATAATATTTACTTGATACTTGTTTTTTCTGCAACAATTCTTCTTTACATGTCCAAATTTCCTAGAGTGTTGACAATGTGACTTTCACTTATGTCAATAATCTTTCTCCAAATGACTTCACTTCTTGCCGATGCCACATGAAGGATATTTATCTTGATTGGATTAAGAATCTTCCATTGTTTTCTTTNTTGTAAAGTATGTAACTTTTTCATTGTGTTGTATCCCAAGAAGCCTCCTCATATAGCCATGTCTTCTAATTTTGCCTTATCAAGAAAATGTATGTGACAGGTGGATTAAAAACTCTTAAGTGCTTAATTAATGGATTTTGTTTGCTCCAAATTTCGATTGGAGTCTTATCTTTGACTATTTTAATTGGACATTTATTGAGTATGTAAATGCAATGTGTACCACTTCAGCCTAAAAGGTTTAGGCAAGTCTTTCTCCTTTACCATTGATTTAGCCATCTCCATGACTGTGCAATTCTTCTTTTTTGAAACATCATTTTGTTGTGGAAAATATACAATTATACAATTAGAACTTTATAGGAAAATTTCTATTTCTTTTCTCCATTTTAACTTCGTCAATCTCTCATCATATATTCAATAAATATCTCCTTTTAAGTGAAGGGTGTACAATTTTTCAGTCATTTGACCAATAGTCAAGGGATTTTTTTCTTTGAGATTAGGAACGAGTAAGACATCTTTTTATGAATCTCATTCCTTTGTTTCCACCACAACAATGCCTCTTCCTTTTGACTTAACTAGGGTGTCATTTCCCAATCGAACTTTCACTTTGGTAGAGTCATCAATATCCCTGTTGTTTTCTTTGGTCATGTTTCATCGTTGGATTGTAGGGTAGCATAAAAGATGTTCAACTTCAATAATATTTACTTGATACTTGTTTTTTCTGCAACAATTCTTCTTTACATGTCCAAATTTCCTAGAGTGTTGACAATGTGACTTTCACTTATGTCAATAATCTTTCTCCAAATGACTTCACTTCTTGCCGATGCCACATGAAGGATATTTATCTTGATTGGATTAAGAATCTTCCATTGTTTTCTTTATTTCTATAAATTTTTCCATTTTTCTTTCCTCCGCTTTCTTTATTCCGTGACCTTAAGTTGAGTTATGATTGAAAGGCATTTTTCACGGAGTAACCATTATACCATTTCAATCTTTGGTAATATATGGTTCAATAAGAGCTTTATTTAGTTCTATCATTGACTATGTAGACAAATCGTTTATTTGTTCCATTGTTGGGACGATTGCATCATATTTAGGAGAATAGAATTAGAATTTTCATGACCATTTTCTCGTCAATAATATTTTTTCCACATGCTCTCATTTGATTGACTATTTCTTTTATTCTAGAAGAATAATTTTTAATCTTCTAATACTCCTTTAAATTTAATAACTCATACTCACGTCATCTTAGAGCTTGAAGTTTAATGGTGGGTACCTTTGCTCCATGCCTCTTTGGCACTTGTGACATCCAATATTGTTGAAAAAATTGCATCCATCGCTTTTGTTGTGGAAAACATAACGTCCTTTGAGTCATTTTGCTTATTACCTTCAACTCTTCCTCTGAGCAATTGCTAGTGTACAAATATATGTAAGAGCAATGAAGTCATCTTCGACAATCTCATAAAGAGAGCAAGAAATTGTCTTCATTTTAATGTCCCAATAATCATATTTTCTCCCACAAATACAGGTATATAAGAATAGATGGAGGATTTGCATTAGATTTTGGTTAGGAAATTTTTGAAATCATTACGGAATATAATAGGAAAGTTTTCCTCGACATAGTTTGGTATTACATCTACTCCAACTTTAGTAGTTTTTAGGATTTTTATTTTCATAAACTTTCTAGAAGTTTGCTTCATATGCTATTAAACATAACTCGTGATCTTGTTTAACATCATTAAACAAAGCATATACAATTATGCAAGTACTTTGTGAAGGAAAAGGTCATTGAGAATCGATTTTTTCATTACTATAAAATCAACTGCTACATAACGCAGAGCATATTACAATATCATAATTTTTTTCTGAAGACAAAGTTGATCATAGTTGTAGTAATTTTTTAAGTTATGATTTTCTGATTTTGTTTCTTCAGTTGCTCATGCAAATAGGTGTGGGGAGGCTTGTTTTGCCGGCTGTTCCTAGTACGCTGAAGACATGGACTGACTCTTTTGGTTTTGCAAAGATGACCGTTTCTGAGAGGTCTAAATTTCTGGACAACACCTTCTTAAATTTTGAGGGTAGCATCATGTGCCATAAGCTGTTGATGACGATTCCAGCTCCATATTCTGGCTTGTTAATACCTAATTTTGAGAGTACATCATCTTGTGAATTCAATTTATTATTCCACTTTTTTTCAAAGTAAAATAAGTTTGTACTGTACAAAGAGGGTTAACTTTCATATTTCCTTGTGCAGAGTCACAATCCAGATTTCATGTTTTACCTGAAAATACCGTTGACCTCAATCAGTCTATTTCAGTATCAGAAGGAGGGATGATATATCACCAAACGGGGAAGTAAGTCTCCCTTCTTTTTCTTTAATAACAAGAAAATAACATATATATATATATATATAATATGTGTGGGTATATTTTTTATTAAATACTAAGCAATTTATATATTGCACTGCACACAAACGATTGAATGATGAACTAAAGATGATTCTGAATGTCATGCCACCTGATACATTCCTCCTATCACTTTCATTCTCGTATCACCTAATCGATACTATGATGCACCGTATTTCAATTTTTATCATATGTTTGTATCTGAAACATATCCGTGTTGAATACTTTACCGATGCTTATATTGATGTATCTAATATATAAACCAGTAATATGATAATAATTTATAAATATTTATGATGAAAACATTTAATATATTTGGTTTTAATTTGAATTCACATAATAGTAATTATATATTTATTATGTTTTCAAGATTTTTTGTACATTTTTTCTATATGCATATATCATGGTGTCTTATATATTATTTTCAAAATGCTGCATTATTATTGAGGAACTAAACAGTTCAATCCTCATAAGTATCACCAAATCTGTATGTCATCCTCTATAGTAAAGTTTTATTTATATTTCTTCTGTCTGCATAACTAGAGATTTTATGTTGTGAAGTGAGCATAATGATTGTGTTGAGAGATTTTTATTGGAAAATGATGACAGTTTTGGTGTTGTATCTAATGAATGTGGTATTTTTCAGTACTTGTGCAGGCAACAACAATGGCGACAACAATGATTTTGTCAATTGTGTTACTGTTCCAATCAACAACATGGTACTTTCTTCTAAATGTTTGTTGCCTTATTTCTTTATGTGGGTTCTTGTTTTGGTTATGACCCATGATTTATTGGTTCTTAGGAGAAAGAAGTTCCTAGTGATAAACAGTATCTTAATGGAAGCAGCTCACAGTTCTTTCATGAAAAAGGTGAAGAATACAACAGTGAGTATACTGGAAAGAAAGTAAGGTATCTGCATAAGGGGAGCTTCTGATGTCCATGCATGGTTTTACAACTGCCTTCATGAGTTTATAACACAGAAATGGTAGATTTGAATGAGTCTACATCAAATGTGATGGAGCTATACATGCAAACTTTCTGCTTGTGAATCTGGTTGATTCTGGAATGTTTTCTTTTTCTTTCGGTTTTGGAGTATGTTGAAGTTGACACGGCTTTTGTTGTTGCGTTCATAATTATGCAACTCTTTTTTTATTGCTAAAAACCTAAATTGGTACTCCTTTGTATGTTACCATAACACACTACGTTTAACGTCACCTTTTATACGTCTGATCCTCAAATATCTAACGTAAAAAATGACCGGTGGCATTTTTCATAAATAAAACAACTATTTAAACGTCGGTTATGGAGGGACCCGACGTCTAAATACTCATATACGTCGGCTCCCTCGAATAGACGCCAAAACTAAACGAAAAAGTTAATAAAAACTAATTTTTATTCTATTTAGACGTCTGTTATTGGGGAACCGACGTCTAAACCCTAAATCCATAAATTTAAAAAGTCAATTTTTGGCTCTATTTAGATGTTCGATCCCGCCCTCCGACTTCTAAAGCACTTTAGACGTCTGTTAATCGGGAAAGCTGACGTCTAAACCCTAAACCCAAAAATTTAAAAAGTTACTTTTTGACTTTATTTAGACGTCTGATCCTGTCACTCCGACTTCTAAAACACTTTAGACGTATGTTAATTGGGGGAACCGATGTCTAAATCCTAAACTCAGAAATTTAAAAAGTCACTTTTTGATTCATTTAGACGTCCGATCCCGCCACTAAGACTTCTAAAGCACTTTATATAGGTCCGACGTCTATAGAGACGTCAGACCTAACGTCATCCATATAGACGTCAGATCTAACGTCATCCATATAGACGTCAGACAGAGATCAAAAGTTAAAAGCTCAAAATAACATATGTCTAAAGTCCTTTTTACACTAGTGACACGACAAAGATTTGTATCCATTACGTCTTTTGAAACTGTAATATCCACGTTTGTTTTCACTGATATCAGATCCTTATTTCATTTCTATAAAAAAAATTGTTACTTTTATTTTTTCTAAAAGAGATAATGATATATTACAAATTGTATGTCTTCTCTACTTTTGTTTGATGAAAGGTAGTTCTTTATAGGCTAGAACTCAATACCTAATACGTTAAGATTAATAAATTTACAAGGGTTGGAGTATTTCAAATACTCCGTTTAATACATAATTCCTTTTTCTGATCAAAAACAAAATAATTAAATTAGTTTACTTTAATTAATAAAGTTATAAATGCAATTTCATCTAAGAATTAATTAGCAATAATTGGTTTAAACGGTGTTACTTGCAATTCAAGAAATAAAATTTTCAACTAATGAAAATGGGATGGTTTCTGAATAGCAAACTTCCATGCAAAATAAGTGGATACCTCATCAATAAAAACTACGTTGAATTGAAGATAAAAAATTAAAATGAATGCTTTTGAAGATGGTACAACTTTTTTTATAGTTATAACTGAAAAATGGTCTCATTTGTTTTCTCATTTTAGAAAAATATGACCAATATCTTAAATCAAATCTTTATAAAAAAAATGGGCCTATAAGTATCATATGAAGAAATTTTCTCGTAACTTTTGTATGGGTTGAGATAGAAATTTGATGAATGTTTCTTTCTATCCCTCTTCACATTTCTTTTTACACCCCACATTTTTTTTAAAATCCTAAAACTATTTTGCATTTCAAAAATTCCTATACTTCTTTTCTTCAACGCATTTAAAAAAAATGTTTCGATAGATTTCGAAATCTTTTAAAAAAAAATTCTTCATGAGTTTTAAAATTCGTTAAAAGATTTTTCAAACTTTTAACAAATTTCGAAATTTGTTAAAAATGTTAGTTTTGAAACGTGGACATACAAGTAAAAATATGAAAAAGTGCATGAAGAAATACTCAAATTTGATAGTGTAAGAAACAATACCCTAAAAGGGACCAATGATATCACTAGCACTGCATATGTTTCATATTTATAATTTTTCTATTACCAGACAACATATAATGCCATTAAAACATATTACCAGACAATAAATTGGGAAGAATCATTGTGAAGAATTTAGGGTTATGGAAGTTGTGCTGGTTTTCTTTTGGAAAATTGGGCACAGAAAGTCTAACAAGAGAAAAAATTACGTAAATTATTATATCGGACTATCATTAAAAGTAAGATGAAAACCAAAGAAAGAACTTATTCACCACAATATAATTTATATAGGATTAAGATTTTATAAATTTTTCAGTTCCAAACAATAAATAGTCAATTATTGGATTTTGTAATCGAGTATGACTTTTTTATGTTATTTTTTAAATAAATAAAATAATATTAATAATAGTAAATAAAGAATTGAAAATCATATTATAAATTTATACATATTCTCTTAATTTTTATTGGCTGAAAATACTATTTAATATTTCTTTTTCTCTTTTCTTTTCTCTTTTTTTCTTTTTATTCCACCAAACAAAACATTACGAAATAATAATTCCACACATAAATAATATATTTATTTCCCTTTATAAGGGTACAACTAAAAGAATATAATAGTTTGACCGCTGGAAATTTCATAGATAAAATTGGATTTACTTCAATGTCTAATAATAAAAGTAATATATATATATATATATATATATATATATATATATATATATATAATTCAAATTTGGATTTTTTAATGCGTAACCAAAATCCAAAAAGTTCAAATCTATTTTAAAATTTTATTTTTTCTCATTAAATCATTTATTTCAAAACCTAAATCATAATTTTAAATAAAATCTAAATAATCTTAAAAGTTAATTTACACATATTTATCTTAAAACTTAAACTACAATACAATTCAAAAATATAAATTATTATCTAACATTAAATCATTATGTTTTGAATTACACGTTTAAGTTAAGAGTGAGATGATTTTTCTAAAATATATATATAGGTTAGCTTACCAAGGGTGAGTCAAGTTCTTAGTAAGTCAAATCTATTTTTAGTCTATACTAAAATTTGTAAATACTTTTAAACCAACTTGAACTTGTAATGGATTGACTAAATTTACGACTTTTATCTCATTTTGACAACTTTATCCGTTGACATTCTCTTCTTTCTCCCCTTCTTCTTTGTCTCCTTCTCCAAAACTTTCAATAACCAATTTACTTTAACAAAATTTTAAAAACAATTGATTACTAATGAACTTTCAAAAATTCAGACAATTTTAACAACAAATTTTAAAAATTTTCAATTACTAGTAAATTTATTAACAAATTTTAAAATAAATTGAATTACTAGTAGATTGTTGCGGAGACATATTTATTGACTTCTTTTCAAGAAAAGTCATTGTAACGTTGAGTAATCAAATTCAATTTTCAAAAAAACAAAATATATCAGTTAAAAGTTGAACAAATTTAGTTAACTAAAGTTACGTTATTTTTTTATTAAATTCACTGAATCCCATTCCAGTTATTTCACTTCACACACTTATGTATCATAATTTGATTTTATTCTTAATTACTGTGTGACCTTTAATAGTTGACCAAATTTAAAACCTAGTTTTAAAGTTTATTTAAAAGTTTACTAAAAACGTAAAAAAAAATACAAACTATTTTAACCTATACAAATTTTTACAAAGATAAAATGAAAAAAAAAAATAGCATTTTATTGTTGGAACAAGTAAAATCTTTTTCTTAATGTTTCATTTTCTTCAATTCTCTTATCAATAGAGATTATTATTGGTCCAATATAAGTTTTTGTCAGCAGGATGATGTTAAGAGGAAAAAAAAATAACACAAGAATAATACAATGAAAGAGAAGAGATCTATAGAATCTATAAATAATATAATTAAAACCGTGACAAAAGCAAATTTATAAAGGTCAAGTATAAAAAACCTAACAAAAAGTCAAAATTTTAACTAAAAGAGGAAAAAATGTGGCACTTTTAATTTGAAAAATGTGGCTCTTGTATTTTGCAGAATGTGGATTGATATAACATGAACACATGGACAATAAGAAGTGTAAACAAGTAGAAGAAACGTCGACATAAGCTCCATAGAAGACAAACAACAATCTCGATAGAAAAAATATGGATACAAACTCAGAAGAACAATCTCATAAAACAAAATTGTGGACACAACCAACAAACACGTCATGAGATAAGCTCGATAAGAGAAATATGGATACAAACTTGAGATGAAACAACCTCTACAAGCTCTGCAAAAGCCAACTTAGCAAGCTCGACAGGAGACAAGCTCAGCAGGACGAACATGGAGACAAGCTCAATCAATATACAACATAAGCTCGACCCACTAGAAATTCTACTCTTTTTTTGCACATAGGTTTCTTTAGGGTTTACTTCTCCCTAAATTTTATCTCTTTATCTATGAAGATGCAAATGATTTTCTCATATGTCCTTGTAAAATTTTTATTGTTTTCTTTTTTTTTTCNCATTATTGAGGAACTAAACAGTTCAATCCTCATAAGTATCACCAAATCTGTATGTCATCCTCTATAGTAAAGTTTTATTTATATTTCTTCTGTCTGCATAACTAGAGATTTTATGTTGGGAAGTGAGCACAATGATTGTGTTGAGAGATTTTTATTGGAAAATGATGACAGTGTTGGTGTTGTATCTAATGAATGTGGTATTTTTCAGTACTTGTGCAGGCAACAACAATGGCGACAGCAATGATTTTGTCAATTGTGTTACTGTTCCAATCAACAACATGGTACTTTCTTCTAACTGTTTTAAAGAGTCACACACTCTTGTTGCCTTATTTCTTTATGTGGGTTCTTGTTTTGGTTATGACCCATGATTTATTGGTTCTTAGGAGAAAGAAGTTCCTAGTGATAAACAGTATCTTAATGGAAGCAGCTCACAGTTCTTTCATGAAAAAGGTGAAGAATACAACAGTGAGTATACTGGAAAGAAAGTAAGGTATCTGCATAAGGGGAGCTTCTGATGTCCATGCATGGTTTTACAACTGCCTTCATGAGTTTAT